TCTGGTTCATAGGTCAACGCTAAACCACTGAGCCACGCCGGCCGGGCCCATTCCTTTGACTATACAGGTCCATGATCTCTTACCCACAATTCTCCACTCCAGAAAACTCTGAAAATAGAAAGCTTTTCATCACCCACTCAGCAGAAAATGTGACCTGAGGGGAGGCTTTTTATGGCCTTATTTTCCTCTCGCTTAATGTGACTCTTTTACTACAGAGATATTTTGTTTGATTATAGGTGGTGCCCCAGACGCTGCTGGGAGCTATCAGATAGCCACATAGGCACTCAACTATTCCCAAAAATTCAAACGTTTCTGAATTCTCAAACCAATGGGCCTGGTGGTTTTTTATAAGGATCGAGGGCCTGTAGTAGATTCTCTTTCCATGGCTTTCGTGGCGCTGAACTTCTCACTGCCGTGCAGCTTGAAAATGTGTGCCCTGACGGGGAATCGAACTGTGTCCTCCAGCTCAACCACTAAGCCATGCCGGCTGGGCAGATTTTAAAAGATTTTTTTTAAAAAGGGGAACTGTTAGAATTTTTTAAATGTCTACTATCTAAACTCAATTATACAAATTTACTATTATTAGCATTTTCTCTATAAGAATTAACAAGGTCTTTTAATTTGGTACTGGTCACACCAGTCGCTCATGTGTTACATGCCCATCTTGTCCAAGGATATAAAGGGATGTGTGTGCCCTAGCCGGTGTGGCTCAGTGGATAGAGCGTTTGTTTATATTATCAATAAAAATACATAAGTATTTAAAAGAAAATAAAAAGGAGACATGTGTAACGTGGACTCTACTTGCAATGTCTTAGATATCCGAGTGGCTCAACTGGCACGTGGAAGAAGCATTAACTTGGCCCTTTCTCACCGAGGACGACAAGCCTTGAAAGCCATTGGCCTAGAAGACCAGGTACCTCATTCATGCATTTCCCTTAGAGAAGGTAGCACCTGCTCCTTTGCAGCAATTGCATGGCTTTAGTTCATCCTGGTTCAGGGCGCTACTGAATGCCAAGAACCTCTGTGCGCAGACTCAATCTACAAAGGCTTTCAAGCTTCTGCGTTTGGCAAGAGGGTGAACATGTGATGCTTGAGGCACCTGGGATCCAGGGCAGGACCCACGGCCTGGGGCAGGGGAAGGCTGCAACTCCTATCTGGGCTCTCAACAGGATGGGAGAGTTCTGCCCCCAGAAAGTGGGATCTGAGGTGGCATTAGGATGAAAGGAGCAGGCCGACTCCATTCTAAATATAAAAATATATATATATA